GGCTGCGGGGGAATGAATTCCATTCGTGCCTTCTTGACGGCATTGGGGAATGAGGAGGTTCCATGGCACACATTCTGTTCACCTACGCGAAGCTTCCCATGTGCGGTTTCTTCGGATGCAATTGGTTTCGTATGCTGCCGTTTCATAGAGCTAACGGACGAGATTTCGAGTGGAAATCGGGACGGCCCTTCGGCAGGAGACCTGACGCTCTCCTCGCCGACTTCCAGCCAATCGTCACAATTTGTAGAGTCAGAAGACTCTGAATCGCTCAGTGCAGACAAATGGCGACTGGAAAACGGTTGTACCCATATTCTTCTAATGCACATGCTTATAATCATGACGACGGCTGCAACAGATGCCCAGGCAGCCAGGATTAGGTACCCCGCAGAACGATATCGGCAGGATCGCAGGTGGCAGCCACCAGAGGAGAGCGGTGATGTCAATGGTGGCCTCGTTAAAACATATCTATTTGGAATAATGGAGTCTTCAAGAGCCAGATCGCTCGGTGGGAGAGTTCCGGCGATCTGAAGAGTCGACATCACAGCCGATCTGAAATCAATTTGGACGACACTCAAGAGCCGATTAAACCCAGTCTTAGGAAGAAGTTGGGTTTCCGTCTGCAGGTTCCCCCAGAATAGCCGTTGCGGAGAATATGGTGTTGGCAGCAGGTTACACGGCTGTTCAACTTGCAGCTGTTCTAAGTGAACGTAACAACTAGCACACTGGGGTAAGTTAGTGTGCTAAAGACATAAGGCTAAAAAGGGGAGACACAAAAATGAGTGTAGAAGAGCGGAAGTGGGACGGGCTGTGGAGTAGGAAGCGGGAAAGTCGAGTGTGGGATGCGTGATGCACGTCCTTGTCGTGTTCTCGCAAGGGCATGCAATTGGACAGCAATCCCAAATGAGACACAGCCCGAAATTATTTGGAGAGAAACATGTGCAAAGCAATTCACAGAATAGGGCTGCATTGAATGCGTCTGTCTCCACGCGCAGAGGGCATCTGCCCGCAGATCACAGCGAAAGTCCGCCGACGGTATCCGTGCGCGCGGCTGATGACTGTCGCAGTACAAATTTCAATTATTATATTCTCCCCAAATACATAAATACTTTTTTTCACCCATTTGTACAGTAGTTTGTTCGCTTAAGGATGTCTGTGAGTATTCAATGATGCGGATCTGAGCAGTGTACGAAGGTTGTCGTAGCTCGCACACACATTTGTTAGCACACGTTACCCTAAACGTTACCCTATACACACATACATAGGTGCGCACACAATATTTATGGCCAGACATGGAGAATTCTCTATAAAATATTAAAATATATTAAACAACAAATTTTAAACACAAATCTTTAATCCGATGGGTCAACAAAGGGAGAAGGAACAGTCAGGTGTCTGAACCTCCCTTAGGACAGAACCTCAGCTGGCCAGCCAGCCGAAAACTCTGCGGGTTGTGGGCTCTCCTAACCTATTTAGCCACAATTCTATTGTAAATTATCTTTATTAATTACTAATATTCCTTGTATAGCCCTTTTTTCAAGAATAGGCCGCTAATGGCTAATCAGAGAACCTAGGGTATAATGCTCAAAGGGTAGCGTCATTCCCATCCCTTCGCCACCACTGTCTCGCCTTATCTTGCTCATTCTTTGTACGTCCCTTATTAAGAAACCTCTTCCCCCAATCTAGGGATACTGGAATAGTATTGGTTCCTGTTGTCACTGGGCACAAGACTGCCCCTCCACGGGAATTTTGCCTAGTCTGTCTGTCCGTTTCCCTTGATGACTAGTGTAGTGCACAGGCAATACAATATGGCTCTTGTATAACCTCTAGCAGCATAATGACCATAAAGAAAAGGATAAACAAATAAGAAACTAAGAAAGGGAATTAATATTGCTAAATATTATAAGAAACGAGTACCGTAGATAGACAGTCATAAGCTAGTAGGATTACCCCAACAGGCAGCCACTATCGGCAGTGTAGCGTACAACCTACTAACTATTTAGGTACAAGATAGGCTACTATAGTAATATATTTGTATAGGAAATAGAATCAGTACTATATAGATGTATTATGTCTATAATTAAGACTGTGGTGTAAGTATAGATGGATCTCCCTATAGGTATATTATCTCCCCACAAGAGGGGAGGAGATACTGTACTGTACCTACACTGTACAAAAGAAGAAAAAGTTCAATATTAGGTAACAAATTAGGTAATAGGTAGAAAATCTACACTACCTTCTGTATACTATAGATTGTCTGTATGGGGTCATCACTGCTATATGGAGGAGGCAATCGCTTGTTGCTTGCATGCAGGTAGACTGTTGTGAGCAGAAACTGAGGCTAAATAGGGAAAATAAATGTATATTCTTATATGCAGATTGCCTTTTCTCCCCCATCTCCTCCTCATACCCTAAGGAGATGGCCTGTCTTATGCTGCTATGTAGGTACCTTATATATACCAATTGGAGGTACAAGGCGCCTGCTAGGGAAAGAGAATAAGAGGACATTTACGTGTATAGATGAATACTAAATAGAATTAACTATTGAATATTTTTTCTTGTCTACCTTCTGTGTAGTAGTGAGGGGGTAAGGGACTAAGTGTAACCAGCTAATCAGTATCCTATACAGAGTATACACAGTAATAATAACAACCCCCTAACTGTCTCGACACAGGAGCAGCAGCAGGACTAGAGAGCAGCAGCAAGAGGTATTTGTAGGTAATAGAGGCACAATAGGAGAAAAAAGAACAGGAGACACCCTAACAATGTAGCAAAGCACAGAAGATACAGTAAATATATTAAGGGATTAATCATCAGAGTCTCCTGTTGCGCAACAGAAGACGCAAACCTGGTGTATATACAGTCTTCTTATTTGCATGCAGTGCAGTAATTAGATCTATAAATTAATAGATGTTTAGTTATTTTGCAATAAATATAACAAAGCAAAAGAAGAAAGAAGAGAAGCTGTGTCATACCCATCGAGCAGGAGCAGCAGCTTCTGCTCCCGCTGCTGGTGTTGTTGCTGCTGCTGCTGCTGCTGCTACTGCTGCTGCAGCTCCACACCCTGTGTTGCGGCAGCACGGCAGTTGCTGCATTGTTGAATGGAGTGTATATGCATGTTGGGTGTTATTTTTTAGGGTTTTGTAAATGTTTTTAAGGAATTAAATACAAAATAGTTTTATTTTTTGCTCTTGTCTTAATAAATAAATGCATGCATGCGTATATAGAGGGGCGCAGACGACCAGAGAACGCGCCTTATATATATAGAGACGGGATCGTCTTCTTTCTTTTTCTTTTTAGAGTCCAAAGAGACTCAAACCCTAAACCCTAAACCCTTAAACCCTTATATTTTCTTGTCTTTTGCTGCCTTCGCAACAAATCGCTGTTTTATATGTGCCTATTCCCCCTGCTCCCCCCCTTATACCCATAGCGTCCTTCCTCATCGTACACTGCAAATAGCAGCAGCATTCAACTCGCACTGTATATACACCCCAGCCTTCTTCTGCTGCACTGCAGCACAACCATTTTCTTCAAATGAAAACTTCCGAGCAGCTGGGTGTTCATAGGGAATCGGAGGCCCCAGGGGGAGGAGCGCCAGAGGAAGGCCTCCATGCAGCAGCAGCAGCAGCAACAGCAGCAGCAACAACAACAACAGCAACAGCAACAGCAGCAACAACAGCAGGAGGGGGAGCAGCAGCAGCAACGGCAGCAGTATCTCTTAAAGCCGAAAGCATCGAGTTGGGCGCTGTTGCATGCAGCGCTACACTCGGCTGCTGCAGCCACAAAACCAAGGGGGGCCCCTTGTCCCTGCGGTGTATAGGCAGAACTGCTGCTGCTCTGCTGCTAACGTTGCTGCTTGTGTGGCAGCTGCGGCGTTTAGGACCTCTGGGGCCCCTGGGGGCCCCCCGATCAGCAGCAAGCACATGGGACCTTACGGGCCCCGATGTCTTGCATGCATCTGATGATAGTAGATACACCGCAGGAGACACAGGAGGAGACATAGGAGGAGACACCTTGTTATCTAATCTAAATGTTATACAAGATGATGTCCCTAAGGATATAGAGGAGACACTTGAGCCTCTTATTGTTCCTGTTGTTGCACAACAGCAGCAGCAGCAGCAGCAGCAGCAGCGAGAGCCGGAGCAGCTCCAGCAAAAAGAGAAGGAGCAGCGGGGGTTGCCTTCTGCTACACTAAGAGGCCTATCTGCTGCAGCAGAGGAGGGAGCATCAGCAGCAGCAGCAGCTGCTGCTGCTGCTGCTACTGCAGCAGGAAAGAAGCCAAGGAAGAGTGTTACAGAGGTGACCCATGAGGTAATGGTTCATCGCCCTGCCAGCGAATTGCATGCAGAGGAGCAGCAAAAGCAGCAGCAGCAGCAGCAGCAGGAGCAGGAGGAGCAGCAGGGGGAGGAGAGGGAGGAGGAGGATGAGAAGAAAGAGGAGGAGGAAAAAGGAGAGGAGGAAGGGACAACACCACCAATAAAGGGGACAGAAGAATCCTATACTGATGATGATGAGGACCAAGAGGAAGCTATATTACGTAATTATTTACGTCCTTTGCGTCTCCCTTTCTTGGATAGATTCTCTCCTTATATAGGAAAGGGGACAGGAGACAGATATAGGCCAGTAGCCCCAAAGAAGAAAACTATTCCTATTAATGGATACCCGCCAATCAGCTCTCTTAAAGACCCTGTAAGGGTTTAGGGTTTAGGGTTTAGGGTTTAGGGTTTAGGGTTTCTGGGACTCAAAACGCTTCAACTGTCTCCTTTTTCTGTCTCTTCTTTCCTCACCTCTGTGTCCCCTTTGATGTGTCTCCTCTGCCCTCCTATAAGCATCATTTTGTCTCCTTTTTTTGTCTCCTTTTTGTCTCCTTCTTGTTGTTTATTCTGTCTCCTTTGTCTCCTTTTTTTTCTTGTCTCTTCCTCAGCTGGCGATGAAGATATTTGAGCATGTGGTCATGTATGGAGGTATGCCTAAACCCTAAACCCTAAACCCTAAACCCTTGTTTTTTTATTGCTGTCTCCCTTTAGGTGTCTCCTTTTATCTGTCTCCTTTTAACTGCTCCTAGTAACAATAAACAGCCTACACCCCCACAAAAGGAGACACTTTTTTTTTTTTTTTTTTTTTTTTTTTTTTTCTTT